TGTGTGTGTGTGTGTGTGTGTGTGAGTGTGAGTGTGTGAGTGTGTGTGTGTGTATGCGAGCATACACAAGCGCAAATAGAGGAGGCAAGGGCTAAATATATCCCTCAATTGCTCTCCACTTTATTTTTTGAGACAGAATCTCTCCCTAAACTTTAAGCTCACCAACTGGGATAAGAATAGCCGGACAGCAAGGCCCAGGAATCCTTCTGTCTACCTCCCCAGCACTGAGATCACAGGCACACGCCACCACTCTGCTTTTCTGCTTGTGTGCTGGAGATGGAACATGGATCCTCATGCTTGCTTAGCAAGCACTCCACTGGCAGAGCCACCTCTGCAGCCCCTCCGATAGTCTCACAGACTTTGAGCCAGACTTTGTCCCCAGTCTGCATGAGTCCTAGTCCTTAAGAACAATGAGAAGGGACTGGAGAGATGGCTCAGAGGTTAAGAGCACTGAATGCCCTTCCAGAGGTCCTGAGTTCAATTCCCAGCAACCACGTGGTGACTCACAACCAACCGTTATGAGATCTGATGCCCTCTTCTGGTGTGCAGATATACATGGAAGCAGAATGTTGTATACATAATAAATAAATAAAATCTTAAAAATAAAATAAAAGAACAATGAGAAGGCAAGGCAGGTGCCTCCAGAGGACTCGCTTACTCTGACATGCAGCTCAGCCTTTTGCCAGCGGGTGACTTTTGATGGGCCTCTCAATTCATGGCATAGTTGTAGGTAGGGAAAAGAGATGGAAGGATGGGATCTAAGTTTAAGAATGCCCTGACCAAGTATGGGAGCACTACACAGACTGCCACAAAAGAAAGCCTGGGGTGAACTCAAATATTGAGCCAGACTCCTTGAGGTTGAGAGTTCTAGGGGAAAGAGACAGGGTAAAAAAGAGGGGAAGAGTTTAAGCTTGTATAAGAACAAGTATTGACAGCTGCCCCTGTGTAGAAAGCCCTACAGCAGCCCTGTGTGGAAGGACACTACAATGCACTGTCTCCAGTGGTGTCAAGTCCAGGGAAGCGCGATTTTAGTTTTATTCAATTTTAATTAATTAAAATATAAACAGCCTGGTGTGGCCAGTGGTTAAGGGACTTCATAGTAAAGATCTAGAATCACACACACAGAGAGAGGTACATGGAGAGTAGCCATTGGTTCTGGCAATAAACAACAATCCTTCATGCCAAGTGTTTGGCTACTCCAAGGGCTCTTAGGGAAAGATTTTGAGCTGGGGCATCTGTGAATATGGGTGTGCCTCCATCTTTGGGAGCAGCGTATCCTGACCTGACTTATGCAGAGAGAGGGATCGAGTCATCTGGTAGAGGCAGATGAGAAATAAGACTGCATGCAAGGGCTGTGGGGTGGTAGTGGACAGCTCCGTGAGTAAAGTGCTTGCCATGCAAACATGAAGACCCGAACTTGGTTTCAATATACCATGTGAAAAACTGTTGTACAGTTGCACAGTGGAGAGGCAGAGACAGGTGGATTCCTGGGGCTCACTGGCCAGCAAGACTAGTCAATTTAGGGAGCCCTATACCAGTGAAAGCCTCATCTGGAGAAACATGGCAGCTAGTTTCTGAGGACTGATAGCTAAGGTTGTCCTCTGACTGGCACAATTGTACATGCCAGCTCATGGGTTACACAAATATGCACCTGTGTGTGTACATGCATACATGTGCCCGGGCACACATGCACACACACACACACACACAAAAAAAAAAAAAAAAAAAAAAACCTGCACAGAATTTGTTCTGTGCATTTTGTGGGCACATAGGGCTTATTTGTTTGGGAAAGTATATTTTGTTTCTTTGTTGAGATGCCCAGGCTAGCCCCAAACTCACTATGTAGTTAAGATTGACCTCACATCCCTCTTCCTCCTTCCTCTATCTCCCAAGTGCAGAGACCTCAGGCTTGTGCCTCCACACCTGGTTTTAGGGAGATTTTTTTTGTGTGTCTTAGGTATGAGAAGAGGACACTGGATTTGGCTTGAGAGAATGAATGTGTTGGGAGGTGAAGGGCTGGGCTAGGAAGGATGAATGGAGGGGCAAATCCAGGGTGTGCACGGAGATGGTCTCCCAGAGGAGCAGGGATTCATTCTCAGCGTTCTAAGGACTTTAAGGGTAGGTACTTTAGGGAGGTAGAGGAAAGGGGGACATTCTGAGTGTCCAGGGAGGGTGCGTTAGTGAACCTACCTGGGCTGAGTCACAACCAGCTTGTAGACTAAGTTGGGGGCACCTGGAAGACTGACAACAGGAACTGTGGTATTGTCAGTGTGCAGAAACGGGTTTTGTGGTGGGGACACAGAGGTACTATTTGGGTTGGAGGGCAGTGGGATTGGGTCTCACGTAACCTAGGCCAGCCTTGAACCCCTGAATGCTAGGATTGCAGGAGCGTACATCAGACCTGGCTGACGAGGAATTCTTTTGAACAGAAATGAAGGAAGTAGGGTTGGAGAAATGAAGGTAAAGAAGAAAGGGTCCCACCATCTGGGGATTATAGTAGCCTCACCGTGAGTGCCAGGCAGTGCCGAGCACATGCAGCCTTGTGTAGCGCTGTCATGCCATCCCGGGCCCTGAAGTCTATGTGAGCCCCACCCAGGCACAGCGTTCGAATCACCTCTACTGAACCTTCAGTCTGGGCCGCCAGGGTCAAAGGTGTCTCTGAAGGGCAAGAGAAGACCTTCAGAGGCAGGGCTTTTGGCCCCTGCCTCTTAGACACCACCCCTGGTTTCCCAGCTCAACCCTCTACAACCTTTGGTCCCTCAGCCTCAGCCTCTGGGGTTGAGGTTTGTCCCTGGCCTTTCTACCCAAACTGCTCTTCACCCCAATCTGTCAGGGCCCATGCATCTTCCTACCTCCTGAATCTGAGTCATGGTAATTGGGGTCCAGCCCCTTGTCCAGCAGCCTCGCCACCTTGTCAGACGTCCCAAGCTGCACATATTCCAGGAACTTCTTCAACCCCGTCTGAATCATGCACAAAGACAGACAGGGGGATCAGGGAGATCAGGGGGTCAAGTGAAGAATGCAGCAATCAGAGATAGCATCGCCTGGCAAGAAGGAAGTCTGGTGTGGTGGGTCATGCCAGTCATCTTGGCACTCAGGGGCAGAGACAGGAGGATGATGAGTTCTAGGCCTGCCTGGGCTACACAGTGAGACCCCGTCTTAAAAGTAATATTCTAAAATAGAAGGGTATGGTAATTTGTGTGAAAATGACTCCTCTAAGGCTCACTGGGAGTGGCATTATTAGAGTAGGTGTGGCTTTATTGGAGGAAGTGTGTCACTGGGGGCAGGCTTTGAGGTTTCAGAAGTTCAAGCCAGGTCAAGTGGCTCACTGTCTCTTTCTTCTGCCTGCCAATTGGGATGTAGAACTCACAGCTACCTCTTCAGCACCATGTCTGCCTGTGTGCTGCCATGCTTCCCACCATGATGATAACGGACTTAACCTCTGAAACCGTAAGGTAGCATCAATTAGATGTTTTCCTTTATAAGAGTTGCCGTGGTCATGGTGTCTCATCACAACAATAAAATCCTAACTAAGACAAAATGGAACTGTGAACTATGTTGAGATCCATGCCGATGACACGTGTTCTTGAAGAAATGTATCTGTAATGCTACTGTTTCAATGTACAATCCACAAGAAAATAATTAAAACATCGTGGTTTGGGGGAGGCAAGATGGCTTACTCGTAAAGGTACTGGCAGCCAAGCCTGCCAACCTGAATTTGATCTCCAAAACATGCATGAGAGGAGAAAACTAAGCTCTAGAAATTATCCTCTGACCTCCACGTGTGAGCAATAACATGAACATGCCATCTCCACCCCACCACCAGTCACACACAGTAATAAATAAATAATGCAATTTTAAAGAGATAACACAGGAGCTAGAGAAATGCCTTAGCTATTCAGAGCACTTGCTGCTCTTACAAAGGACCCCAGTTCAGTTCCCAGGACCAACCAATGGCAGGTAATTCCAGTTCCAAGGGGATCTGGTGTTTCTAACTTCCTTGGGTACCTGCATTCTCATGTGCATACCCACACACAGACATACACATACACAATTAAAAATAAAATAAATCTTTAAAAAAAGATACAGTGGGATTTTTGCACGGTTTTTGCAGTGTGACTCAATTCACACCTGTCACATGTACAAAAGAGTTGCACATGGCCACTGTGGATGGCACAGGTAGCGAGGGGAAAGGCGTGGAGGGGAGGGAATAAGTGGGAGGATGGTGTGGTGCAGAGGAGCTTTGGGAGGCGGGGGAGAGGGGAATTCTTTCCATTGAATGTCAAGACATTGTTTCCCTCTGGCCACATCAGCCTCCTAACTTCCTCAGAGCTCCTTGGGGACCAGGGCAGACACAGGGGAGATATCAGCCAAGGTCTGGAGGGAAAGAGCCCAACAGAATAAATGTGTAAGGCAAGGCAAGGCAAGGCAAGGCAAGGCAAGGCAAGGCAAGGCAAGGCAAGGCAAGGCAAGGGAGAGTCTGTGCTTGATGGAGACACAGGCTATAGGCCTGGGGCACTGTGGTGTCTATGAAATACTCCCTAGGCAGGAGATGGACTGAGGTAGGGTAAAAGAAGGGCCCTAAGTGCTTCTGAGCAGAAAGGCAGAATTAAAAGAATGGGGTGAGCCGGGTGCTGGTGGCGCACACCTTTAATCCCAGCACTCGGGAGGCAGAGGCAGGCGGATCTCTGCAAGTTCGAGCCCAGCCTGGTCTACAAGAGCTAGTTCCAGGACAGCCTCCAAAGCCACAGGGAAACCCTGTCTCAAAAAACAAAAACAAAAACAAACTAAAAAGAATGGGGTGAAGGGCTAGGAGTAAAGTGCTTGTCCCGCAAGCATGAGACCCTGAGTTTGTCTCCCTAGAACCCACATAAGAAAGCCAGGGGTGATGATGGTGTGCACTTGTAATGCCAGTACTGGGGAGGTGGAGACAGGCACATCCCTGGGGCTTCCTGGTCAGCTAGTCTGACCTACATGGTGAGCCTCGGACCAGTAAAAGACTGTCTTAAAAATAAGGTGGGGCCAGTGAGATAGCTCATCAGGTAAAGGTGCTTACCACCAGGCCTGGCCTGACCACCTGAGTTACATTCCCAGGACCCATATGGTGGAAAAAGAAAATTGACTCCCCCAAAATTGTTCTCTGGCCTCCACGTGTGCACCCATCCACTCACTCCACCGCCACCACCACCACCTCCCTTACAAATGCACACAACAGGCACAGATGGCATTGGTCTGGGCAGGACAGGACACAGAGGGAAGTGGGGAGGGGTTACGATGGAGACAAACAGGCATCTCCAAACAGGATTCAATGTTAAATGGAGGACTTGGTGTAACTGAGGAGTTGGCAGAGGGGAGGGTTTATGGGGAAAGACTGGAAAAGAAGGCCATGGACAGAGTGCTCTGGGTGCAGCGTGGCACACCCAGGGGAGGTACTCTCACCTTTGTGTGCAATTTGGCCAGCTGTTTCTCATCCAGGTTGGTCTGTTTATAGACTCGGGTCTTGTAGCGGAACTGAGACCAGGAGTGGAGTATGAAGAGACACAGACTTGTAATTAGATTCTTTGTTGGGGAATAATGTCTGATACTCCTCCCTTCCTCCCAGATGAGTTCAGGGTTAGCATGGAAATGGCCCCTGTAGGGCGACTTTTCCAAGAGTACTAGATCATCAAGGTCTGTTGAATTATAACCCCTATCTTGCAAGTGTAACCCACACACGGAATGTTCTAGAATGACTACTGTAGCTGGGATTCCTGTCCAGCTGATGGCATAAGGAAGGGAAGGAATGCCATCTGAGGCAACTCAGCTGGTGATTTGGATTCAGGATCCCATGAGTTCTCGGGACATCTTGAAGAGCCCACTGGGGTTCTCTTGGCATCAGAGTGGACGTGTTCCAGGGCACGACTTCTGTTAAGTGTTCTGGAGCCTCACCTCCAGGTAGGGTACCCCTTTCTCAAAGGACTGGGGGTACTCTCTTAGCAGCCTCTCCTCTTCCAGGAAGTTGGCATCCCGGCCTGAGGTGGCCGGCTGGAACAGTCCGTAGTTAAGCACATCCTGTAAGCTCTCACTCAGGGCACAGAGGACTTGCTGTTTGGCTGTCCAGATGGTGGCATCAGGGTTGAAACGCAGGCATTTCTGGTGGGAGATAGGATGGCCAGGTTGGGTTAATTGTCTGAGGGTTGAGGGTAGGTTGAAAAAGGGGTAGAGCCGGGAGTAGGGGTGGGGAAATAGCCTTGGTCAATGTGGCTGTCAGCTGACTCACCGTCTGGTGCAAGTCAGGGATGCCAATCCTGAAAACCATCATGCTGAAGTGGGCGTCGTCTGGGACAGACATGGAGCGTCCCTGGAGGCCTCGGGCAGAGGCCAGGTTACCAGGTGCTCCACTGCCCCGGCCCCGGGTCCCCTGGGGGCCTCTCCCTGGCCCGTCTGGGGAGCTGTCGGATTCTGAGCCCCCCTCGGGACACTCGCTGGCACTGTGGCGTTCCTCGTCCTCGCTTGTCGCGGGGCTGTGGGTCATCGTGGGGCCACGGGGCGACGGGGGACAGCAGCATCACAGGCAGCTGGGCAAGGCAAAGGTGACCCTCAGCATAGTGCCACTCAGAAGCTACCAATACCATTCAGTGACAGGCACCGTGGCAGCCTGTTCCCTCTGCCTTGGGAGGCAAGGGAGAGTAGGCGTACCCTCAGACCTCTGCACAGACAAGCTCACACCACCTCTTCAGCCTTCTTGGTACCCTTCTCCTCCCTGTCCTTGGCCCCGCTTGCAGCCCCCACCCCCCTGCGCTCCACTTTGCTGCTGACCCAGTGTGTCCCAGAAATCACAGAATCACCACGGGAGCTACTGGCCCACTTTGTCAAGCCACAGAAAATGAAGCTAAAATTAGCTAAGGACAGACAGGTGGACCAATCCACCCCGGCATCCTGCCCTCCTGGCCAGAGCCTGGCCTCTTCACCCCAGGGAGGTTGAGAATGACTTTTATAGTAAAGGCGAGATGGAGGTGTGAGTTTTGAGCCTGGGGCAGCAGGAGGTGCCCGAGAGCTGGTGACTTCACTGAAGTGTGGCTGACCACATGTTTGGAGGGCTGCTGCTGGGGAATGAGCTGTCCCTGGAGGGGATCAAGGGACACAAATGTGGGTGGATGTGCAGAAAAGAGAAGTTCCCCTGAGCTGTGCCCAAGGGACCTATGAGAGGTTACTGGGGCATGTGAAGAGGATATGTGGGTGGATAAGGAGGCTGGCCCTGGCTGGACCGTCCAGGTGACAAGCTGTGGTGGCCTGGGTGGGTGTGGGCAGCTGTGGATGACCTGTGGGTGTGTTTCAGGACTGGCACAGCAGGGTGGGTGGGTTGGCACTGTTTGGCACTGGTGGCTCCACCGAGGAGAACTTGGATTGGGTGGGGAGGCTGGGGAGGAGGCTAAGAAGTAACTGCAGCAATATGGGGGACCAGGCGATGGGGAGGGTCGTCCCTCTCAAGGTGGCCTACTGAGGGGTGGCTCCTTTCCAAATGCGGTCCTTCTCTCTCCTCTTCACCACCCCCCACTCCCCACTCTAGAACCGGAAAGCAGAATGTCTGGTCTGGTCCCTCCCACCCCACACCAGGCCCGGCTCCTGCACCGTTGCCATGGAGATGGGAAGCAGCTCAGGGTACTGCTGACTTTGGGGGAGTGGGGATGGGCTGGGGGGAGGAGGGTTGGGGAAGGAAAACGAAATGTTTAAGGAAGAGAGTTCCAAGAACTGTAGGCGAGCAGGCGTCTAACTGCGGGCTGAGGACCCCTCCCCCTCGTGGGGACCGAGCTCCGAAGTGCCCCCTCCCCGCGTCAGGTATCTGGCCTGGTTGCCCCACCCGTCCGGCTCCCGAGGAGACTCCGGGCCTCCAGCTCAGTCCGCTGATTGCCCTACACCACCTCCCGACTGTCAGTGTGACCTCAGCCACTCCCCCTCAGCTGACCCTGGCTGACATCCCCTCTGCAGCCCCAGCTCTACAAGAACTGGGTGGCAGGTGGGATGAAAGGTCAGCAAGGGCCGGACCCCCATAGCGCGGGCTCCACTGCCCCAACACCCAGGACAGCTCGGCCCCTCCCCCTCCGGCCTCGAGGGAGGGAGCGGGCACACTCCGCCGGGGCGGCATGAATCAAAAGCTCGGCGGCTAAGAATAGCTGGCACGCAGCTGGTACCGAGACGGGCTGAGGAATCGGCAAGGGGGGGGTGAGGCAGGAAGGCTGGTGAGGGGACAGCCCCAGGTCAGAGAGGGAGCTGGGGCTGGGGGCGGGAGCAGAGGGGGCGGGGGGCCCCGAGGAGAAGGGACCGGAGGCGCGATGGGCACGCGAGGCGCGAGTGGGAAGGAACTGGAGTCGCCTGGAAGGGGCGGGGGGGGGGGGCGGCGGGGGGGGGGGCGGC